CAGAAATAACACTTTAAGGCAGAAATAACACTTTAAGGCAGAAATAATACTTTAAGGCAGAAACACTATAAACGGAAGGAACATTTCTTCATAATTCATAGCTGGGAAGGCAGACTTCATACAAATACAAAGATAACACACATGTTCTATCAGGTAAATGCAAAACTCTGGACAGAAACCAATACAAGAGTTGGAAGCTTTCATACAATATACGAGCGGGGTGTTGTTTTCGTACTCACTCTGATTTCATACACAAATTACAAGAATGGTTTTATACCAGAATTATGCCTGTCAGAAAAGAAATCCCATTCTGCCACTCTGTAGATCGAACAATGAACCAGGAATGACATAACTGCCACTATGCTCCTGGCTTTTTGCGTTCTTATAGACTGTTACAATTTTTGTCCTGACATTATGGTACCAGTGCCAAATTTGGGCACTTACTAGATCTAATGACCAGAAAATCATAAAAAGAGAGATGAGACTGTCTTAGAATAGCTGCCAGAGCAACAAGTGATATGCAAAAATGGAGAAATGAGAAGAAAACTAGGAGTGAAACCAGACAAACAAATTGCCGAGAAGCAATAAAGGAAACGGTCTGTCCATCTGATGAGAGTTCTCTAGCAAAACCTGCCAAAGATCACCTTGAAGAAATATAACGAGCACAGAGGGAGTGAAAATACCATGCAAAATATGAAGACAACATCAATAACAGTCTTAAAAAAAATAAAAACCATGTTTTAAAGCATTTTAGCAACAGCACAAAGAAGATCTTGTCATTTTCCCCTCAACACTTTGCTTATATCTAGGATATGTTCGCTCTATGATAGAGTACAACAACTCACTGCTTACAACTTGCTCCAAAACTAACCTAGAGACTCTTGACAGAGTACAAAATAATGCCCTCCGATCAATCTGCGGAGCTATGCAGTCTGCACCAACTGCTGCATGTGAAATCCATACAAATGTGGAACCCCTCGGGTTGCGGAGAGAAAAAGCCACTTTAGAAATTTATGAAAGATGCATTAGGAAAAATTGTAACCATCCTAATAGACATCTTGTAGAAAACTGGGAATCCAAACAAAGAATAAAGCACAAATCGGTTTTACACTGTGTTAATGAAATTCAGGACAGATACCACCTCCCAGAAAGACGTCAAGGAATTCAGAATGTTGCAAGAAACCTACCACCACATGCTCGCTTTAAAGCTCCAGAAGTCCGAACTAAATTGGTAGGCGAGGAAATCAAACAGTCCGACCCAATCGCTCTTATGAACTCATCACTAAAGACCGTTGATTCTTAACCCCAAGAATGGATACATGTCTATACTGATGGATCAGCATTTAAAGCTACCATTAAAGCAGGTTACGGAATCTACATATGTTATCCCGATGGATCTGTTGAAGAGATTTTTGATGCATGCGGGGAATTCTGTTCAAACTATGAAGCTGAAATAATTGCACTGGAAACAGCAGTATACCACTTAAAGACTGTAATGGATGTTTACCCTTCAAAGGTCCAAAATATTGTCATCTTCACAGATTCAATGTCTGCCCTTCAAGCTCTGGAGGGCAGTGAACGCTGCAGAACTGACATAGCCAAGATAATCCTGGATGCTGATCAGCTTATTACCTCATACAACATCAGAATAGTGATGCAGTGGATTCCAGGTCACTCCGGCACACCAGGTAATGACAGAGCTGACAGATTGGCAAAGAAAGGAGCAACACAAGAACAACCACCTACAGCGACAACCCTCCAGACAGCAAAAACACTGAAAAGAGCTATAAACAAAGAGACTTGGTTGAACAGATGGGCCATGGGAGACACTGGAAGAGAGGTTTATAGACATATGTCTGGCCCTGATCCTAATGACAGCATTAACCATCTAACAAGAAGGGACCAGGCCACCATCTTCAGACTTAGAACGCAACATACTCCTCTCAATGGACACCTAAACAGAATACAGCCACAACACTCCCCAGAGTGCCAGCTATGTAACTACCCCTACGAAACTGTTGAACACCATCTCTTTGAGTGCCCCAAACTCAGTGAGACAAGAAGAATGCTACTCCCTCCAAGACCAGACAAGTGGAACACCTTGTACGGAGGAAAAGAACAGCTTGTGAAAACATGCAAATTCCACTACATGGCATTGGGCCAAAGCTCATGCGCCGCTGGATCGATAACAACAACAACACTTTGCTGAAGTCAACAGAGAAAGAGAAGAAGATACAAAGCTACCAGCGGCAAGCTACTAAGAGACTGTAGGAATGTTAGTGATAAAACATGGCTGGCTTTTCTGTAGGAATGTAAACATGCCAAAGCCAGTTTTCTTCAGAATGCAATTCTTGAGAGTTTTAAAACATCCTTTAGACATGTTAAGATTTAAATAAGTGCGTGAGCCTCTGCTTTGCTCTATAAAATTACCAATGGCTTAGTTGGAAATAACAGCCCAAAAAAAAATCTGAAAAAAGGCTACACTGAAGAAAACTAAAACAACCTTACAGAGTAAAGCCAAAGCTTATGCTTTTTTAAAATTTAAATTCTTTTCTTTTCTTTCATATTATTACTTTATTCTATCTCTTATCAGTATCATTTATGTATCACTAACATTTGTATTTCTTTTATTCCCACAATTACATTATATATTAACAATATTACTTTTTATTTTTAACGACTATATTTTTTTAGCCATTGTTTATTTTATTTTATTACAATTTTCCCCATCACATTTTTTAAAAACGTTGCTCACGTCACCCCTTCGCGATCTGATCACTCTCCTCTCGTCATCGTTATGTTTGTGTAGTTTGCTTCATGTTTAACAAAGACTGCCCGGCCGAAACGTTATTTGAGTTGTTTTGTGCACGATTTTCTGCTTCCCCATTTGGTTAAGCTTTTTAGTCACATTTTACTGGAATTCCTTAAAGCTTAAGCATGTATCCTTATAAGCAGTAATGCAAAATGACATCTTTGTACAGTATTCTTCACAAAATGCTTTAACCGTCCATTTTCCTTAGCATTATCATTCAGTATTATCCGGCTAGAACTGAAAGCAAGGTGGGGAATCTCCCCCCCCCCCCCCCCCACCCCCCCCCCCCCCCCCCATTTTCCTGAAGGACACTACATGAGTATCAATACTCACTTTGGAATTTTATTTGCTGCCGATTTTTGGCTTGACCTGTCACTACTATTGTCAAACCTGAAAAAATCAGGAGCCATTTAGGAAATAAGCTTACTTCAGACTTTCTGAATTTAGCACAGTAATATTAGCTTGGGGGAGCCGTCATGGTGTAGCAGCTAGATGCTGACCTGCAGATCCAAAGGTTGTGGGTTCAGGTTCTGATGTTGCCAGACTTCCAGCCCCCCTCCCTCCCCTATTGGCCTTGGCTCCCGAGTCTACTCAGCTTTAAATGGGTACCAGGTAAAGTCATGGGAAGTAAAGGTGGCTGGCGTGATGCTAAAGACATCCTTCCCAGTGTGCTGACTGATCTATAAAATATAGGGTTAGCCCTATCTGCCCATTACACTTAAAATGCATGAAAAGGACCCTTCAATTTAATATTAGCTTGGAATAAGTAAGATCCAACAATAGTATTTGATCTTTAGTTGACATAATCTTTTTGTAAGCACTCGCTGGGATTTTGAAAAAAAAACCCACCAAAATACACACTCCCACTTGAAACCACAACAGAAAAACATTGCAGATATTTTTGAGAGTCTGTTCCTACTTCTGCTGATGTATTAAGTTCAGCAAATCCTTAATCAGTCACCTATTACAAGAGGCTTATTAAGGGGTGGTGCCTTCATTTACGCAAAATCAGTGAATTACCAACAGCTCATATTCTATGTATGTAGGCAACCCGGTGAAGTACCAACAGCTCATGTTCTATGTATGTAAGTAAACCATTGAAGTACCAACAGCTCATATTCTATGTATGTAGGCAACCCGGTGAAGTACCAACAGCTCATGTTCTATGTATGTAAGTAAACCACTGAAGTACCAACAGCCCATATTCTATGTATGTAGGCAACCCGGTGAAGTACCAACAGCTCATGTTCTATGTATGTAGGCAACCCGGTGAAGTACCAACAGCTCATGTTCTATGTATGTAAGTAAACCATTGAAGTACCAACAGCCCATATTCTATGTATGTAGGCAACCCGGTGAAGTACCAACAGCTCATGTTCTATGTATGTAGGCAACCCTGTGAAGTACCAACAGCTCATATTCTATGTATGTAGGTAGCCCGGTGAAGTACCAACAGCTCATATTCTATGTTTGTACATAACCCAGTAAAGTACCAACAGTTCCTGTTCTATGTATGCAGGTAAATCAGTGAAGTAGCAACAGCCTATGTTCTATGTATGTGAGTGCACCAGTCTATGTATGTAGGTTCACCACTGAAGTACCAACAGCTCATGTTCTATGTAGATAGGTAGACTGGTGAAGTACCAACAGCTCATGTTCTATGTATATAGGTAGACTGGTGAAGTACCAACAGCTCATGTTCTATGTTTGTAGGTAAACTGGTGAAGTACCAACAGCTCTTGTTCTATGTGTGTAGGTAAACCAGTGAAGTACCAACAGTTCTCGTTCTATGTATGTAGATAACACCACTGAAGTACCAACAGCCCATGTTCTATATGTAGGTACTCCACTAAAGTACCAACAGCTCATGTTCTATATGTAGGTACTCCACTAAAGTACCAACAGCCCATGTTCTATATGTAGGTACTCCACTAAAGTACCAACAGCCCATGTTCTATATGTAGGTACTCCACTAAAGTACCAACAGCTCATGTTCTATATGTAGGTATTCCACTAAAGTACCAACAGCTCATGTTCTATGAATGAAGGGAAAATAATGGAAGCACCAATGGCCCCATCTTGTATGTTTGTATGTAAACCAGTGAATTAACCATGGTTCATGTTCACTGTATTCTCTACCAACAGCTCATGTTCTATGTATGCAGGAAAAATAATGGAAGTACCAATGGCCACATGTTCTATGTTTGTATGTAAACCAGTGAATTAACCATGGTTCATGTTCACTGTATTCTCTAAAATATAAGAACACTCAAGCACTATAAATAACCGCCTACCCGTCATCTTGGATGTTGCTGTTGCTGTTGCTACTGGTTTTGCCGTGTGATCTGTGGACAAAATGAAAACACCAGTTATTGAACACTGCTGTCATGAAAAATATGTGTTCTACTAAGGTTTTGAGGTTTTTGAACAACGAATCAACATTACGGCACAAGGGTAGTAACTCATAAGTGCTCCACTTTTCTTCTTACTCAAGTCTGAGTCTGTAGAAGCTCAGCACAGTGCACTGGCTCTGTAGCATCGACGAGGATCCTGAAATACTTTGGGTAGATTTCTAGCTCAAAATTTGGCACGGGCTGCGCCGTTAGGCTACTCTTTTCGATTTCCAACTGCCAAGGGATTTATTATGTGCGTGACAATGCACATGGGCGTCCAATCTCACTACCCAGAGAACAGGGGGAATTACTAGAAGTCCAAGTCCACGTGAAAAAATCCCAGTCCTTACTGGGGATTGAACCCAGAACCTCTAGCACTCAAGGAAGACACCATGCCTTAAGACCACGCAGCCCCCCCCTACCGAACTACTACATGACAAGGCAGATGTGGTCAGAGCCCTTTGGGAACAAGTAAGGAAGTCAGAAGAGAAACTAGATTATTATGTGCTGGAGAGAATGATGCACCTGGGTGTGACCAGAGGGCCTGTCCGGCACACTACACTCAGAGAAAATGCAAGACAGACATACAACCAGACTATGACCAGCATCACTAGTATTGGAACTCTGCGCTGGCTGCTGAAAATGGGGACGGAATGCGTATGGGAATGCCCTGAGTGCTGTGATGTCAATTCTTGGCACAGCTCAACTCAACCTGTATATTTCCTTTATCCATAATGAATTTTACCACACCAATTAGTACTAATTAGTTTTGTAGTGATATGAATTTGTAACAAATTTTAATTGAATTTAACCTATTAAAATTAGATTAAATTAAGTCATAAAGTAAGAGAAGAGGGGCAGATGTTAGACCTGCCTGTGTGCCGCATTATCAACCATCTAAAAAAAAAAAAAAAAATGCATGCTCTTCAAATTCTAATTTTGATCTCCTTGCTGGTGCTTAACCAAAGACTTTTAAGGCTGTTTAATCTTTGCATTGCTATGGCCATCCTCCTTTCAGGCAGGGTAATCACAGTTCCAAAATTATAGCAAATGGGTCATACCCCAGTTGTCCCATTCCTGTGCCAGTAAAAAACTAATTAATAGTAATTATAATTGGCGTAATGGAGGGCCAACCCAAACAAGAGCACTACTGTAATCAAGACACATGCAACACGCTAACATGTCCTTAAGTAACCACTGACGATGTCTATGAGTACCGTAACACAATAAACCATACCAACTGTGATCTTTCTATTGCGATCAGTCTCTTGATGAAACATTTTGACTAATAAGATGAGCTAGTGATCGATGACGTAATGTCATCCCCTACTGCCTCCAAAATAATCAGCAGTTACTCCAGACATGGACAAAACACCCCAGCGAATGATGTCCCAGGTGCCTGCTATGGGCAACTCACACCCGGCCACACAGATACACCTATGTGATGTACAGTGAGGACAATCCCCTGGCGGTTTGTTCTCTTAACGACCCTGTCACCACATGGGATTCAAGACAGACGAACAGCACGTCCATACAATAAGATAAACTGAAAGCTACTGATTAATTCAAACTATCATAGGACACCCCCCCCCCCCCTAGTGGTTGCATGTGGATCTCACATTCTCACCAACCCTCAGGATTCACGATCCACAAGAATCACACAATAAAGATTATGTCCCCAATTTTGTCTTTACTGAATCTGCAGTTAGAACAGCTGAAAAGTATTCCAAATGAAATACACAGTTCAGTGTTGTGCCATGCACACACCTCGGTAGACTGGGGACAGAATTATATCCTTTCGGTCTAAATAAGGAGGAAAATGCACCAGCTAATCTAGTGTCAGAAACAAAAATAGTAAACCTGCCTATCCACCATACTGAATGGTAGTCCCGCAGGCAAGACTGCTAGTCAAAACACAGCTACAGCTTCCTCAAAGTGAAATATTTTTACTTGGGTACCCTCTCTACAATGGAGACTGGCTACAGAAGATTTGTGCATCCATCACTGTCTTGGGAAATGTTACATCTCAATCTCTTCCTGAAAGCCAGGGAGATGAAAATGAAAATTACCCAGGCTGAAATCTTACCTTGCCCTCTTTGTAGGCGGCTCCCCGGACTGGGATCCCGATTTGGACTTTTCGGCTCCGGATTTATCTCCTTTATCCAGATCCAACTTGTCACCCTTCTCCAATTTGACTGGTCCATCAGACGAAGCATCGGGGTCGTCTCCTGATAAGATGTGAATAAACTGATGTTATCATTTCAGTTTAGGTAAAGTACAACACAAAGAAAACATACAGCAAGTTCAGAAAAAGAAACATTACAGTGATGTTGAACAACAAAAAAGCTTCTTTTTCTACTATTCTATCAATGGGACAAAAGCCTTCAGCCAACTTACAGCAAAATCATTGCAGCTACAGTCTGTAAATAACTGTAAACAGTAAATAGTAAATAGTGTGTGTGTAATGGCTTATTTTTCTGCGAATTTTTTCTCTGAAATTTTGCTCAGCACTCTGTGAGAACTAAGAGCTCCTGAGTGCTAAACTTACCAAGAAAGTTATTATAACTTTGGAATATGTTAGGGAATGGAACAAACTTTGAAGGTTTGTTCTCAAATTTGGATATTTACTATTCTTGTGGCTGCAAAACCATGGTAAATGAAGAATTTTTTTTAAAAATGTGGTCCTTGTGAAATTAACACCTGCTGAATTCTTCTTTCCCACTAACTATAACAAAATCAAACTAACACTTATCATCAGATTCAAAATGTACATTCATTTCTCTTTTAAAAAATATATACTTTTATAGGAATTAGAAGTATATTACAATCTCTATAGCCTTTCTTGTGCACCCACCCCTCTGCCATTTTTGTAAAGGGAAATTAATTTTGGCCAAGTCTGTCAAAATTCATGGGCCTGAAAGAGTTAAACAAAGACAAAGCATTTCCTATTTGGTACAACAAACAGTTTGCTATTTCCATTGTTAAGTAAAAATTCTAATAACAAGAGAGTTAAACCATAATATTTCTTATGTGTTCAAACAAACTTTGTTATGGTTATTTCTACTGTTAAGTTAAAAACTGTTAAGAATTAAAACACTATTTCCTATTTGGTACAAACTGTTATTCTTCCCTCTAACATTAGACAACAAAAACTTACACTGAAAAAAAAAAGAAGACATAATTTAGTGGACAGACTTGCGAAAAATGGAACAAAGTAGAAAATTACAAACCCATTCATTGTTATTACCAGAAATCAAAACACTTATCAAAGGTAAATACAAGGAAAAAACCAACAGTAATCATCCACAAGATTACACATCAGCAGACTCAACAGAAAGCAACATACAGCAATTTTCCATTTACGAACAGGACAACTCAACTACCATCATCATCATCATAAACCACTTCTGCCGTTAAGCGTTGTGGGGAGGAATAATTTGCGTTCCAGTGCACGTTGGCTGCCACTGGCTATTGTCATGCCGTGAAGGCGTAGAGTGTCTTTAATGTTGTCGATCCATGTTTTCCGCGGTAGTCCTCTTGCTCTTGTAGTTGGTCTACTGAGATGTAGTGCTTGTGATGGTATTTGATCTTGCTGCATTCTAACAAGATGGCCAAACCACTTGATCTGCTGTTTCTCGATGAATCTAGTACAAGGTGTCGTTCCCACAATTTGCCTGATAGTTTCATTATTCACTTGATGGTTAGGTTGGCTGCTTTTCTCAGGCACCTCATCTCGCAGGTGGTAATTTTGCATATATGGGCTTTAGACTCAACTACCACGTGCATAAAATAAAGATTGTACAGTCCCCAGTGTGCATGTCAAACAGGACCACAAACACTGGAGCACTTTCTGCAGACCTGCCTTCTCTACCTACAACTTGGAAAAGACACCTGGCCTCAAGAGCAAAGAGTGCAGAGCAAGCTATGGAGAACCATGAAGGACCGGCTACTGACATGCGAGTTCACAGGGGCAGCTCACCTGACGGTCTGAAGAAGAAGAGTCTTAGGAAGATACCAAGAATTGTCTGTTCAGGATATGTGGGTGTGTGGGGTAATGAGCAAGCTGAGAGATCAGCTGCTGCCACTCCTCTGAGTGATGAGCTACTTTATGATAAAGTGGACATGGTGAAGGCTCTCCAGGATCAAATGGGCAGCATAACAGAACAGGTAGAGAATACATACAGTGAAAGACTATATTTCAAAATGAAAGGGAGGGGGAGGGGGTAGGGGTAGAGCTTCTGGAAGATATTCAACAATGACAGGGAAAGACAGGTAAACTTTTAATCAAATTGCATCTAATACTACTGGTATGTCGACTCTTTGTTGGTTACTGAGGCAGGAGACGGATTATGCAGTCATGCCAATTCTTTATTCACATTTTCATTCACAGCAATCTTTTAGTTGTACCAGTGGTGTTACCTAAGTCGTATGATTTTGCCTGGTCAGCTGATAAAGATGGAAGACTGGACGGGGCTGGTATTCGGTCACTTGACATACCATGGTGGCTTCCCTGGAAAGACAAAAAAAAAAAAGATAAAATATTGAATGAACACAATTTACACACACCTGGATAAGTAAGCGAATGACCCTTTTCACATCGCTGGCACAGATAAGCAAACATCTTTTCAGAGATCCTGGGTAGCTAGAATCTTTTAGATATTTTTTCCAGGGTATGCTAGGAAATGAACAAGCAGATAAACTGGCTGGTTCTGTAACACTTGATGATAAACTGATGCAAGACAAGCTTGTTGTCAGGGCTCTTTGGAGGTGAGTAAATAGTGAGGAGACACAAACACATCTTTAATGTCTAAAGAAAACTGTGCAGTGATGAGTGGGGGGGGGGGGGGAGGAGGGGATCTTGCCGTTGCTCAGCATTCAGAGGAAATGCAAGATGGATATACAATCAGACTGTTACCAGTATATGTAGTAGTCATTTTTCAAAAACAACCCGATCAACACTCAGGGTTATTATTGGGATACAAAGTGTTATGTGAGTTCTCAGAGTTAAGTTAGTTGCGTATCCTTTGCAGAACCAACCCCAGCATTTTTTTGGCTGTTGTGGTTTTTATAGGTAAATTTACATAAAGTAGTTTGCCATTGCTTTTGGACGGTCGGCGTCTTGATACCACTGTCGAAACCAATGCAAGACGCAAGGTCTGGAGCTGGGATCGAACCCAGCACCCCGGCATTATGAAGCTCGTTCGCAATCCCTAAGCCATAGACACCAACTCTCAGAGAATATATGTTATTTTAAATTTATATAACTTGTAACTATTTATATGACTAAAATTTATTGCTTCACATTTTGCTTAGATTTGGGATGTGATTATGAAAGAAATTGTACTATGAATAATAAGCAAAATTTTACTAACATTGTGTCACTAACATGGTGGATATATTGTTTCCCTAGCGTACAATCACTGATTATTCTCCTCGAGTTTATCTTTAGGGGAAACATGGGCAATCTTTACCCTTCTATATATGGATTTTAGGCCTAGTCATAAATTGCTTGACCTTGCCATGAAACTCTCTGGACTTGTTTATGTGTAGCAAGTTTTGGATCATTATATTTACAGAGATTCATGCAGTCAGTTAATGGTTTTGTTTGGTTTTCATATTGCCGACACTCCAGCAAATAGTGCTGGACAGTATTGTATTTCTGGTATATCGACAAGTGCGGAGGCATAAAAACATCATTACAGTCTGAGGAAAGTGGTGCTGCTGAGAGTTACCAGGGGATCGGGCCAAGGCTCAACACTCCAGGGAAAGGTGAGAGGGATTGGAACTCTTCATTTGCGGCTGAAGATGGGTGACTAAGTGCTTATGGGTGTGTCCCATGTGCTATGAGGTAGATTCTTAATTCAACATTCCACAAATATTAACATCTCAAATGCTAACCCCTGCTCTTGTGATCTACTGTTTTATTCTTCCCTGTAGTTCTCAAGAACCATCCAACTCCCAGCAGGTTTTGCATTGTCACAGGCTTAGACAACAAGCACCATCAAACAGATGAACAAGCAGTAAGTATATCTTGTCTACATCTAAAAAGAACCCACACTGAATACACGTAAATATATAATACAATAAATGAAAAAAAAAATCTCCCATGCCGATTTTAATATAGAACTGCAGTTGCAGTGTGAGTAAACTTCAGTGACAGACGTCAGGGCTGCCACGAAATTGAAATGGCAGCATGATGAAAAGTTCGCCACATACAGGCAGATCCACTGGTAGAAAATGGCTGCAGGCATTGCCCCAGTATAAACAGTGAACCTCAAACAGTGTCTGTTCAGTAAACAAAGGTGTCAACCAATGATGTGTGAATAAATGCAGCCCAAACAAATCATCACAATGAAACAATACAGCTAACATATATGGACCATCTGGATCACTGTGTGGGTTCTGGGGTCCCATTTTGAGGAAAGGGTCTGTGTGTTGGTGGGGCAGAAGGTTGGGGGGGGGGGGAATCCATTACCTCCCTTACAAGCGTGTCATAAAAGCGAATAATTATGGGCTTTTCTTTCAGATGCACTGCCTTTGAATGAGACAAGGAACCAACAGTCAGTCTTCATACAAGTAAGACAGATCTATAAACAGAAATGCATGCAAAATTCAAGTTCTGGAATAAGACGTAAGTAAAGAAGTGAATCAACAGAGAGTGCCTGTTTCTATGATTCAAATAATTCTTAGGGACATTCTCAGGGACTAAGTTATTCCCACTGTCCTTGGTCGGTCTCATTTTACTAAAGATTTCTGTGGAGACGAGCATAAACTTAAATATCTTTATGTTTCTTCTTCTTCTTAACGTTCACTAGCTGTTTATTCCCCATAACTTTTTAAAATTTGATTAAATTTGAGACAATTTAAAGTTTGAATAAAAGTAGTTAATACACAGTAACATTCATTGGACATTGATATCTGAACTTGAAAAGAAGATAGAATCACTGAAAATTAGATCTTATCACTAGATACTTGGTGTATTATAGACCTTATTAACCCTTTGGAGAAGACTGGGCTGATCTGTTGGCCAAAAAATAAAATAGCCAAAAAGATGAATTGCTCGATAATAAAAACCTTCAGATTGGCTGGTGGGTTTTCATACTAGTCAATCAGTTTACCTTTCATATTTCTTGCATATGTAGGCAGTTCAAAGACAGTTTTCATGAAAGTTTGCTGTATTATGTAATTTCACATCATTTTTTTGGGGGGTGGGTATTATATGTGCTCAACAATGGTGAAAAGGATTATGGCAGCGATGGATATGGAGCAGAGAACGCTGCTTACACTTTACCAGCACTTCATCATCTCAGTTATTGATTATGGATTGGGGTTACTCACTGTCTCGAAGAGTCAGCTAGACTATAATGTACTATAATGTATTATAATGTAAAGTGCAGAGCACGTGCTCCGTAGCTCCAGGGACAATTATTATTACATGAAAATGAAAAATCTATACGTTGTTGTTATGGAGCAGGAAGTAACCAGTCACCCTAGTAGAGCCTGCCTGCCTGCTAGGGAAGAGGGACTGTTGCACCTGTAGCAACCAAACAACAGCAGGAGGTAGGAAAAGAAGTAGAATCTTATGCAAGGTATCTGAAAGGCCTACATTGGCCCTGCTTCCCAAAACACAAGTGTTAAGACTGATTCAGTCTTCATTCATCAGATAATTTACCCCAAATTGTTCAGTTTAGTCATGTTTGTCCTAAGTATAAAAAAACAGATATGCATAAAAAATATGCAAATCAGGACAGCTAATTAGAACAAATGTTGAGATATCAGTGTGATTAATAAAGATTATGTTAGTTCATTCAATTTCCTACAACAATTTGCATAGTTTTATATATTATTAATAAAACCCTTAAATTTTAAAATAATTTGGTGTATGTAAATTAAGAGAATCCCCTCCTAAATGCTCTATCTTCTTCGCACTGAAAATCCAAATAACGCTCATCTCAAAAGGGTAAAATAATTGAAAAGTTTGCCATATGATTACTCAAATCATTGGTAACTAATATTCTCTGTTTAAAAAGTCAAAAGACAGAAAATACAATGGTAGTGACATGTGTGGGCTCTGTGGCTAAGTCGATGCAAACGCTTCATAATGCTGGGTTCGATCCCAGCTGCGGGCCATGCGTCTTGCCTTGGTTTCGACAGTGTTATTAAGAAAGCCGACCGTCCAGTAAGCAATGGCAAACTACTGGACGTAAATTTGCCTAGAAAAACCACACAACAACCAGCGGCTGTTGGGGTTGGTTCTGCACTGTCCTGTAAAGATACACAACTAACCTTACCTAGCCTAGTGACATGTAGTCAGATCTACCGGCCTCTCTCAAGAGATACTATGGGGCTTTGTACGAGGACAGAAGAGAAGCGATGAAAAATCTAGAAGTAAAATTTTGCCAACTGAATGGCCTCCATTTTGTAATCATTAGGTCAAAAATATGAAAACATCAAGTCAAACATATGTAAACACCAAGTGTTTAAACCCATTAACCCCCCCCCCCCCCCCCCCCCCCCCTCCCCCAACCCCCTTAACAAGCACATCATAAAAATGAATAATTAGAGGTTTTTACTTTAAGGTAAATTTCAATTTATGTAAACATCAAGTCAAAAATATGTAAACATTAAGTATCAGGAGAAATCTTTCGACAGGGTCGTTAAATGAAAATTATGGAAAGTAATGGCTCGATGTGAACACCTCACAGAAGTTTGCAAAAGCTTATACAGAGATTGCAAAAAAAAATAGTTAGAATAAATCAGGGAACTTCTTAACCATTCAAAGTAACATCTGGAGTAAGACAGGGATGTGTCTTATCACCACTTCTGTTTATCCCCTGCACTGACAGTATAAGCAAGGATGCCAGATCCAGGAACGAAAATAATAGTAACATCAACGAATTACTCTTTGTTGAATGACCAGGCCTTGATTGCAGATACAGCCATGAATTTGCAACAGCATCTCTCATCCATGAATGAAGAATGTGAATCAAATAATATGAGAATCAACATTGAACAGACAGAAGTAATGCCAATAGGAAGAAAGAAGCAGGATTTAAACACAGCATTAGAGCATACATTTATTAAACAGGTCAAATATCTTGGAACAACATTCACTGAAGTGGTAAATTGGATAAAGAAATGGACAGTAAAGCAGGCCAAGTATTGGGACAGCTAGCTCCCCTCTTACAGCATAAGACAATCCCAATCAGCACAAAGAAACATCTCATACAAAGCATATTCATTCCCACCCTATGCTACCAGTGCCTGACAGGGTCACTCACAACAAAACATAAAAAAAATTTAGTAACAATACAAATGAGGTGTCTGAGAAGAACGAACGAACAAACTTTATTTTCAAAGGGTTGCAAATTGGGCATGCAAGCCCATCTGAAATTCGGACCGTCTAAGCACTCATCTTTCAGAGTACCAATGCCTGTTATCAAGAGATAAAATCAGGAATGAGGTCATAGAAGATAAAGTTGGTACAGAACCAATTCTAAATTACATACA